AACACAAATTGCTAACAAAAAAAGATTGATTTTAAAATAAGCTAAAACTTAGGGGGAAATACTTTTTTTTTTGACTGATTTGGGCTTTTCTAAGACAATTGCTGAGTGCCTGGTGGCTACTTGAGTCACTATCATTCCCATTTTATTTATTTATTTATTTACTAGTTTTTCCTCTGATAAAATGCAGGAACTGCATTGTGATCACATATAGGACAAAAAATAAACTATGATAAACATTTATTTGCGCAATTGTATCATGAGTGATCTGCAATCTGATCTGTCTGCAGTGTGTTTATTACCCACCGGTGTGTGTGTGTGTGTGTGTTGTTGGGGGGTGCGTGTCTCATGAATCACTGGCCAAATGTTAATGAAACTTGGAGAGTAATAATTGGATGTATATCAACAAATGATTAACCTTTGGAGCAACACAAGTCAAGCTGGCTGCCACAGACAACTGATCTTTAAAATGGATAAACCCTAGAAAAATAAATCACAGACATTGAGCTAAAACTTGACGTGGTAGTAGCTGAGACTGATCTCCAACACATATTCTGCAGTGGCTTCAAATGTTATCAGCCCATTAATTTTTTTTTTTTTTTTTTCATTTAGCCTTTATTTACCCAGGTTAGTCTCATTGAGCCACGAGAACTCATTTTCAAGAGAGACCTGTTTTTTTTTTTTTTTAGGGAGCACATGGTGGGGGTTAAGGGCCTTGCTCATGGGCCCAGAGTGGGGCGAATGAGGGTGGGGGCAAGTGTGGGTGTTTCACCTGCCCCACCCACAATTTTTGATGTTGTCGGGGCCGGGGCGTGAACTGGCGATCTTCGGATCACAAGCCCACCTCTCTAACCTCTGCGCCACCACTCCCCATAAATGACCATTATTAGTTGTTATCATCCCCATAGGCTGCATTAGACTGTCTCTCCTACCTCCTAGTAGGTTTAAAAGCACATTATTATCACTGATAATCTGCAGCTTTGCCTCGTCTCAAAGCTTTTTTTTTCATTTGCTTTATTTAACCCTTTTCCTAAACCTAACCTTGCACCTGACCCAGAGCACTGACCCTAAACTTAACCCCCTGGCCCTTGGCCTTGACATATTATCAGCGATAAGAACGTACCTTTAAACCTACTAGGAGGTACAGGAGGGACTGTCTGAACGCAACCTATGGGAATGATAACAACTAATAAGACATTTAATGTCTGAGAACGTGAAGGGGGTGCATTGTGAGCACTAACAATTTGTGTAAGATCATTGTTTAACCGTTATATTTATTTATTTATTGCATTATCTATATGGAGTCAACTCTGTCTGTCTTTCAGTAAAATATTTACCACTTTATGATTAATATATATATATATATATATATATATATATATATATATATATATAAGCTTTCAGAAACTAATCACTGGATTGATCTCCGTAACTGATTAACCTTCGAATCCAGTCCAATTTCAAGATGGCTGCCAGAGATAATGTATATTAGTCAACACAAAATGTCTGTAACTCCATCAAATTTACAAGGTCAGTGTGTCTTTATTGTCATTCACACCACATGTGGTACATGTGGTGGAACAAAACAATGTACACAGGGTCCCAGTTACATCCCAACAAAAATACCAATTGTGAAGAAAAACTATTAAGAGCTAAGATATGAACTAAGAAATTCACTAAACTAAGAAAATACTAAGCACAAATAGTACAAAACAATGCACCAAACAGCGGCAGCACGAACATGAGTCTGTGTGAGCAGATGAGGATGAATGAACACAGTAACATGAAATAAATCAGCAGCATGAGATCAGCAGTATAGATAGTCAGCAGCACATGTCAGCAATCAAGTAGCATTACAGTGATTTGTCTGGTTAGGGATTCAGGAGTCTAACAGTCTCAGGGAAGAAGCTGTTCCTCAACCTAGTTGTTCTGCACTTAATGCTCCTCAACCTACTGCCTGAAGAGAGCGGGACAAAAAGTGTGTGCTGGATGAGTGAGGTCCTTCATGATGCAGGTGGCCCTCTTCCTGCATCTGGAGGTGTAGATGTCTGTGATGGTGGGGAGGCTGACTCCAACAGACTTCTGTGCAGCCTTCACCTTCTTCAGCCTACAGATATGGAGCTGAAGTTTTACATGAGGGTAGTTGTGAGTCACACAGTCTGAGCTGGAGTTCTCACAATAATGCAAAACTCTTTTTTTTTTTTTTTTTTTTTTTTAAGTTTCGATGCAAACGGCTCCAGCTACGGCTTTTCTCAACATGTGATTATCTTAATCTAAAACTTCTTTATGAAACACTGCAAATGATATATAATAAATGCAAGGCCTCGAATAAAGAAATAATAAATGCAACGTTCAAAAAGATTTTCACAGACTAAAAGGAAACTTGACAAAATGGGGGCACAGTAACAAGGCGAGCGCTGCAGAGCTATCTGTATTTATATTTTTGTGTTCCAGAATCTGCTGGTGATTATCTAAAAATGTCAGCTAATCAGTCTGATCGATAAGCTGTATGTTACAACATTTAGAATTTTACTAAGTTTAATTGATGTTCATTAAACATACATAAGAGTATTTGCATAGCATCATCTCAGAATGCAGGTAGTTACTTTGAGTTGCTTCTTCCCACAGTCAAACACTAAAAACCATCACCTTGGATTTGAGCATATTTGTGGATTTCATTGCTACAGTGTCACTCCGTGCCTATATCTGTCTGTCAGTATTCTTATCTTTTTCTCATTATCTTTGCAGTCTAAAACTTGCTGCGCTTCACTCCAGCAAAGGAGACTGATCTAATTGGCATTCTAATTTTCTGAAGACAGCTCTGCTGACTTTTATTTAGCTCTCCCTGCATTCTCTTCTTCTTTTGCCACCTTTCACATAATGATAATGAGAAAATATACTCCCAGAGGTTTGCTGCAGTGAGCATGTATTTTTTATTTTTTACATTTTTTCTCATTTGTGCTCGTTACACCTATCACATTTGCCCAGGCAATTTGTCTGCTTGTCTGGGTCTGAGAAGGGTGACTTATCTGCACTAACTCCCCGTCGAGGCTACGCTTCATATCCAAATTGGCCCCTGTTAGCATTTAAATCAAGAGCCCCACCACCACCTCTCTTTTCCATACTACCTCACTCCAGCGCTTCTTACTCCGCCCCTCTTTGCCTGTTCGGCTCTGCTCAGAGGAAAGCAAGTTGGGAACTGAGAGGAAGCCCATGCCATTATTCAATGAGATCAAAAAGTGCAAAGAGGATGCTGTTTACTACCAGCAAATAATCAGGAGACCCTCTTTACTGCAGAGGAAGCTCGTCGGCTCCCTCCCTCATTTTCTTCCTGTTCGCCAGCAGCTGTTACTGTCACTTCCACCAAAACAAGCTGCATTTTACAGAAACCTTAAGCTCTTTGACAAGCTCTGTTTAAATACACCTTCCATTCCCAGCAGCAGGTATATTAAAGCATTAGGCTTTGAAGGCTATTTCTCAAAACTTGCAGCATGACATGAAATGTTTTGCACATGTTAGAGCCTTTGTGTACTTGCTGCTGCCGTGATTTGAAATGGCCCTAGCAGAATAAACAAGGTTGTTCCGGCAGCTCGGTATCCCAGAGGTCATCAGCGCCTCATTGTTCCCACGATCAGACACAAAGCATCACAATGACTATCTGGTTCACACAGGCAGCCATCAGGCTGTCATCAGTGGCTCACAATAACTTATGATTTTCAGTAATCATTTTTGACTTCAGCAAGTCACTTTGCACCAGTCTCCTTTGGTTAGAGCTGTAATTTAGTACTTTATTTTGAAGACATTTATGGAATTAGGTCTAGAGGCAGTTTTAAAGTTCTTCCTGCAATACAGCACAAATACAAAATGGAAGAAAAAAAAAAGTGTTCATTAGTGAGTCTGAGGCACCAGACCTCAAAAGAACTTGACAGGAGAACGGGAGGAAAAAAAGGAGGAAACATGTCATGAAGATGAGGAAAGCAAGGTAGGAGAATCCTTTGATCAATAGTTCTCCTTATAGCACTCCTGTCTCCGCACACATTCATAATATACATATCGCTGCACACATTCCTGTCTTCGTCTTAACCAGGCAGTGGCTTTACATCCCGGGGGCAAGTATTGAATTTTCCAGAAAGACATTTTGCTTCAGTCTTTGGAGGTAGGGCATGAAAAAATCAAGAAAAAATACAAAGAAAAATGTATCTCCGCTTTCAAATGAAATCCATCGATGCGGCATGTAACAAAAACGGGATGATATCAGATGGGAGTAAATATTTATCATTAAAAAAAAAAAAAAAAAAGAAGTCAGGCTTAGGAAATGAGAGAAGCCACTCGGCTTCTGTCTCATGGGAGAGCGTGTTTGTCCATGACAGTCATAAATATGTATCGCGCAGTGAAATGACAACGATTGTAATCTCACAGCTGCCTTTTTTTTTGTCAATCCCCACAAAAATGCCCCAACTGGTTGTGACTGCAGACAAAATTAAAAGTCGCACCCTCTCGCATCATTAGAATAAACCACTTAGCAACAAGTGGCACGCTGCTTAATTAAGGTGGAAACAAAGTCCTCGGGGTAAGAGAGTGTGTGTGTGTGTGTGTGGGGGGGTGTTACCTGTCTGCTCCTTTTTTCTGTTTTCCTTTTGGTCAAATTAGCGGAAAGGTAAATATTCAGAGGGTCGCTTTGCAGCTGTGGCAATCAAAGCATGCTCAAGCATATCAATGGTTGTAAACGCAAATCTTCTTATCCAAATAACACGACTCTGCAACAGGAGTCCAACTTGTTGGTACGGGGTGGGAGTTGGTAGTTCTTCAAATAGACGTGCAGGGCTTCTAAAAGTGCACCAGTAGTCCCATAGAAAAGATAGTTTGCCATTCATGATGCTCTTCAGTGTACAGAGAGAATTCAACGACCTTCGTTCTGCTGCTCGACAGAACTTCTCTTCAATGAGAAGCTCCTCTCTTTGCTTTTGGCTAATCCTTGCTTTCATTGCTTTTATCTCTTGCAGCTCTGAAGGACCCCTGCACAGAGGTGACTTGCAGCTATGGCAGCACTTGCGTCCAGTCGTCAGACGGCATGTCAGCCAAATGCATGTGCCCCCTCGGCTGTGACGGCAAACCCGATCAGACAGTGTGCGGCAGTGATGGAAAGGACTACCGTAATGAGTGTGAACTCCACCAGCATGCCTGCAAAGACCAGAAGAACATACGAGTTCAATACCAGGGGCACTGCGGTGAGATGAAGTTTATGCTATGTATTCATTAAGTCTGCGATATAGACCAAAATTAATATCTCTATTTTAAGATGAATGGCAATTATATGATATGTCTCTATTTTTTCCTTTCCATAAAGTAACAAGTCCCAATTGTCGCACAGGCACATTTATTAACAAACAGCTACAACTGTACAAAATAAATGTCTAAAAAATGAACTTCAGCTGCACCGCCTTCACGACGTTCGTTAGCCTCGTTGTCTTTAGCCTTCTTGTTCCACAGTTGAGAATGGGACTGTGTATTTAGCAATACGATAAGCTGCTGCTTTATTAATGTTGCGCTGTTCCTCTCATAAGGCACAGCACGGCTAAATGAGTTTTGTACCGTGGCTTGTTTCAGGGAAAGAGGCTGAAGTCTGTCGGAGCTGCAGCTGCAGTTTCACACATGCTTCGTACCAAATGGTGAAAAAGATTCGTAGCGCCGACCTTTTGTCGGGACTTGTTTTCGGCATTGTCTACAGAAAACATTTTTCTGCTGCTCGTCTGACAATTTAAATCCAAACCATCTCCAAATAACAGCCATTGTTTTACTTTTTGCTCAGCTGCTCTTCGATATCCTCTCCTGAAAAGAAGAAGTACACTAATTTTCCAGTCTAATTATAACTCAACATATAACTATTGATATAGACAATATAGTCATCTTGTATGAAATTATTTCGATATTTTAAAAATATTGAGATATTGCCCAGCCTTAATATTTATAGAGATTGAATGAAGCCATATTAACCACTAGCCAGTGTGTGTGTGTGCGCTCTTGTGTTTGTTAGTAAAGCCTCCGGTATATTCGGGTGTACGTCAGTCCGTGGATGTTCACACATAGAGTTGAAGTGGACACCCGCAGGTCATGTCCATGCAAAGCTCAATTTTTACGACTGCGCTCGTGTACTCTGTGTCGCACAATAAACTGCCCGGCGACGGGTTACTTTGTATGTGACACCAATGTATTAAATTCCCCTTCTTCATCCCTGATCTGGTTTAATGGCCTTTTCTTTTGTGTTTTTGCCAAAAGGCGAGTGATCTCTTCCTCCTTGTCCATTGACGCCATGACTGAAATTGTGAGAAATTAAGGAATTTGTCATGAGCGAATTAAAATCAGGTCCAGCGTGGCTGCGGGAGGGTCTGGAGATTTCCTGGTGGGCTGGTCTGATGTGTGGGCTGCAGGGCCAGAGCTCCCTGTTTTTTTAAAGAACTTTTTATTAGCAACATATAAACACAGAACACCGCTGTGGCTGAGGCTGCCAGCTCTCGTTTTTTTTTTTTTTTTGCAACCTGTCAATCAATCCAGTAGGTGTGTCAGCAAATGACCAATCGGTGACCTCAATTTGTCCTGAAGGTCAACACCCTTTGCCTGCGGAGCTGGTCTGCAGCTGCTCAGGGTGGACGCTCGAGTATGACGTCTCAACCCTCTGCGGACAGTGCGCGTCGAGCCTGCTCAGAAAAAGGTCCACGCGAGTATACTGGAGCCTTAAAATGTCTCATGAACCAGTAGATGGATTTTAATAAAACTTTCAGGTAATAACCGTTGGATGAACATCTACAACTAGTTGACTTTTGGAGTCAATCCAACTTAAGAAGGCCACCTCAACATATCAACATTAACCAACACAAAAATGTTTCTAACCCAGTCAACTGTACAGATATTGAACTTAGTGACATCTTGTGATATTGCTTTAGATCACACCCATCGTTATTTTCAAGCTTCTTCAAAACAGCATCAACACCGCATAAAAGTGGGCGATATGAATTTCTGCAAGAAGTGCTAGACCTTTAATTATGGATGAAATCATTGAAGAGAAATTATATGTTCACATTTGAGAAGGCAAAAATACTTTATAAATTACTCAAAACAAACTTTATCCCTTACTTATTTTACTACCTTCATTTGTTCTGACTACCTGTATAAATAAAGGCTAAATGAAAAAAATGTTCTCAATTCTTTGTTTTTCTATCACTACCTTTGTTGCTGTTGTTGTTGTTGTTGTTTTTCCATCATGTACCCCAGTTACTTATGGCACACCTCAACTAATTCTCATTTTTCTTTCAGATTGCTTTGTTTCACGCAGGCATTCCTGTGGTGTGAATTGTTGTTTTCTCTAAGTAGGTCTTCAGAGCTGTCGTTTCCGTCTGGTTTTTTTTTTTTTTCCTTTGTGCGCTCATCCCTTGTTATCATCTGGCAATGGTTGTTTACGCTCAGCTCGCTCAACTTTTTTACTTTTCTGGCAAGCCAGATGGAGTGCAAGAACAACAAGCAGTAAGTCCATCTCTGAGCAGCAAAAGCCTTCAGGAGGGAACAGCGAGCGGTGGGGATTGAGAGAGATAGATGTGTAGATCCACAGGCAGAAGGCTGGTCGTGTAAATCTGGCACGAGTTGGCCCATCGCCTGTGTTTGCCCCTTCCTCCCCTGGGAGAGCTGAGGCTCAGGGGAGCAGATGGCCTCGATGCTTCTCTAAAGCCCCTTATCCACGGGTCTTTTTGGTACTCCTATGTAACTAGTTGTGGCCGATTGCAGGATTTATCAACAATGCCTCTAGTGGTGGAACCCACCCCATTTTTGGGACCTAAATCACTGAGGTCCCAGGTCTGGTTCTTTTAGGGTCTAGTTGTGACATCAGCGCACTGTAGGTCACTGATTGGTCAGGGGGCGTATTCATTGGTGGAGGGCGGAGATTCAGTCTTCCACCGGAAATCACAATCCACCATTTTCTTTTTCACCCGCATAACAGACAACAAGAAATCGGAGAGCTTATTTTGGAATATTTTATAAGGTAAAACAAATAATCATGGCACAACCGTGGTCGAATGCTGAAGTTCAGGCATTTCTCTGTTTGCTGGCCGATGAACAAGTGCAGCGCGAGCTAGATGGAACGAAACGAAATGAAACGATTTTTCCAGAGGTGTCTGCGCAGATGGCGGTGCAGGGCTTCCATCGCACACCAAAGCAAAGAGGAAAGCTTAAAAAACTAATAGCTGATGGTGAGTGTATTTTATTTACTTTAAGCATATTTCCTTTCCCTCATGCAACCGTTTCTTTGCGTTTTCTGAAAGTACTCTGAACAAACGAGGCTGACGCGGTTACGTCGTCATTAGTTAGCATCATTGCTAACTGTACTCTGTTGCTGTTTTTCCACTCTTATTTTGATGCAGAAAGTCCCACTGAACATGAAGGTTCGCCAGATTCTGCTTTTGACTGTCCAATCCTCCCCGCTTCTGACCCTTCCCGACCACACCAGCTCCAAGTACATCCATGCCACCGGGCACATGCACGCCACCGGGCAACACGCAGCAGAGCGGCACCAAACAGCACCCGTTACTAGGTAAGAAGCAACAATTGTGTTTAACATCACATTGATCATGTTGATATGAATGTTGTTTTGTTTTTGTTGTAAAACACCTTGCATGTATTCAAACTACTTGTTTATTCAGTTGTAATGGATAAATGTTAAATTTAGTTATTCATTTATTACTTAAACTTTCATTTATGAAGTTTATTATTGAAATTATACAGGGTGTAGTGATTTTTGTTCAGATTAACGATGCTCTGTTCTTTTTCTAAATTAGCACAAACCGTTGTAAATGACTACATGTAGTTTATTTATGCCCACCTGCTTACTATCATTAAAGTACTAGACTGCTTTATGAACAGAATCATTTCTGATCTTGTGAACAAACACCTTTTCAAATTAGCAGGAACTTTAATGTAAATAATTTATTTAAAAACTCTACCTGTACTTCATCATCTAACAGCCATTTTCTTGTGTGTTATTCCTAGGCAATAGAAAGCGCAGATCAACAAGTGCAGCAGAGAGCTTTGTTTCTGCGCATACTGAACAAGAGGAGATGAACTGGAAGCAGAGAGAGGAACACTTCCATTTTATTTGTGAGGATGCCAAAACAAGGCAAGAAGAAGCTGCAGCAGCGAGGAAGCAGGAGAAAGCCATTAGGAGGGAGGAGATGGCCTTGAGGAGAGAGGAAGCAGATGTTCGCAGAGAGGAAGCAGCACAGCGAAGGCAGGAGGCTGAACAGAGTGCTGCTTTCAGTCAGGCACTCCTTGGGGTGCTGGAATCCATTGCCCGTTCCATGGCAAACAGACATGTTTAAAAATATTTAGAGTAGATCATAGTTGATCTATAGAAATGTAGATCCTGCAAGGTAAGCCCACAAATGCATATTGCATAAATATGCATGTTGCATATATAATTAGTGTATAATTGTTTTTTTTTGTACAGGTCTTTATTTCTAATAAAAGAAACATTTTCAAGTCTTGAGCTTCCATCTGATCATCAAAAGTGAAGTGCTTACAGTGTTTTTTTACGTCAATAGTGTAGGATAAGTGAAGTAATTGTTTTTTACCTGTAACAATGCTGGTGAAGATTCTCAGTTATCCTTGACACGGCAAATCCCCCCCAAAACAGATAAAAACAAAACCTCAGGACTTTTTTTAAAACTGAAGACGTTTCGCTAATCATCCGAGGAGCACTCACAATTCAATGAAAAAAGGAATCTGGGATTAAAGTTATAAAGCTGTGGTGTTCTGTAAGCTTGCTGGAGGTTTTCAGTCATTGCATGTCAAACACCTCGGCCATGATGTCCATCTTGTGGATCCAGCAGCTTCTGTGTCTTTTTCACCCAAGGTCAAAAATTCTCTCCACGACTTTCACTGTGGTACAAAGGAGCACTAACTTAATATTACTTAACAGCACTTCAATCATGAAGATAATTTGCGACAGCTTAATTTAAAGAGCTGCGTGGTAAGCATAAACTCTGAAAGAGTTGTTAAATATCAAATCAAATGTAGGTTATTATGTAATGTACGTAATATATATATATATATATATA